GAGTGGTTAAATCTCAGGCGAAAAAAGTTCATATTTAAAACATCACATGAGAGGTTAATGTACAGTAATATCATCTGGGACAAGCAAGAAAAAGCCTTGGTTTTGAGGTATAGCTAAAAAGCTTGGAGACTGTGTCTCATAGCTGCATGCGGTTCAGAAAGCTGGAAAAGCACATAGCTTTAACAATGACTCATTGAAAAGTTTGCTACTTAAATGCAATCAAGTCAAAGAATGCACAATCAGGCACTTAACATTAGCACACACTCACTCACTCTGTTAGGTTTACTGACATGCACATGCTCACTCACACCATGTAAACATCCTCAACAGACAGCATGAACAGCACTATATCTGTATGAACAAATGGGGGGTGAGGGGATGCAGAAATGACTCATGAAAGGGAGCGTATCCGCACGTCGACGCCTGCTTCCTGATCTCTGTGCCTGGTTCTGGTTCAGGCCGTGGCACGTGTGGCTCATACCAGTGCGATTTAACTGCAGACATCATTTTAATCAATCTCCCCTTTGTCTCAGCCAGGCTCTCAAACATGTGTGCACCAAAATCTACATTTAACACAAAAGCATATGGCCCATTCACTTTCAAATAAACATTGCTTCATGGCTTGACATTCCAAACGTATAGACTTGTAAGTTAATACTGTATTGAATATGGAAGTTTTCCAGAACAGCGGGAGACTGTTGATGAGGGTAAATGATCCCGATCGTAAACACAGACCGCTGCCCCATCTGCCTACCAGGGAGATAAATGAGCCGGAAAGACATTTGGCACCAGTTAGGCCAACCTCTGATACAGTAGCAGAACAAGTAAGCGGCACATTACTGAAAAGTAGCTTATTTTAAATAACACATCTTACAGTTTCAAAGTTTATACAGCATAATAATGTCTCCCACAAGTATGCAGAAACATATTTACAGTGCACCACCCAATATTTAAACCACGTTTTGAATCACAGGAGTATTTTAGTGTAGTAGTAGTATTTTGTGAGATACCCACAGCAAACCTATGTTGATTTTGTAGGCTCAACCATGCAGCAGCCTCAGGGGTTGAAAAATTAAGCGGACAAAAACAGTTGCTCTTGCGGCCACTTGAGGCTGACTCCAAAAGTGTGTCGTTCCCAGTAGACATCCATGCTAACGAGCCCAGATTTACAGCTTAAATTAACATGTTTTTAGGCTGGTACAGAACATCTCTGTAGCTTTATAGGCAATTTCCTCCATAAAACCATGTCTGGTGTCTGTGCTGCTGAATGATCACGATGCTCACTTAAGTGTAAAGTGTAAAGTGTGCTTGTTAGTCCCCATAGGGAAATAGTTCCTCTGCATTTAACCCATTCACCCAGTGAAGCAGTGGGCAGCCGCCAGTGCAGCGCCCGGGGAGCAGTGTGTAGGGGCTGTACCTTGCTCAGGGGTACCTCAGGGTAGCCGTTCAGTGGAGTCGAACCCCCGACCTTCCGATCATGGGGCCACCACTCTACCTACTGAGCTATCCCTGCCTGACTAATGTATGGGGCATTAAAAATGTATTAAAGCTTAAAGATATGGCTAAAGTTTGATCTTGCTCAGCATTCAGTTTTAGTAAATGAATGGATTTTAATTATAGGGTGGGAGTACCTCAGGAGGTAGATCACTGGCTTCGTGCCTAATATCCTTGGACAAGGTACTAACTCCAATTCCAAATTGCTCTTTAATGAATGTATCTGAATGTTAGACAGAAAGCACTTAAGCATAAAAAAAGTGCTTGATTGAAAAAAGGTTGAGAATAGGTTGTTTGAGCGCTCTGGTAGAGTAGAAAAGCACTTTATATAAACTACGCAGTTTTCACTTCTCACTGTCCAGGGTTAATGTGGTGAAGGTGCATATTTAACTTTGTGGCTTGTTGAAAGGGCACTTTTACCTCTCAGTATCAAGCATTACTGCAGCTGTGGCCTCAAGGCACTGAGGCTTGGCTTATTGAAAAGGTCTAAGAACTTAATGTCATGGATTGGAAACGAAAATCAATTTTAACTTTGTTCCGATGAGACCAAATCTATAGTAACAACACTGCAGACATTGATCTGAAAGTTGGAGGATTTCTTTGTCTGAGAGCAATTAAGTTTCTCCTCGAAATCTGTAGTCTCTCAGCATTTCAGCCTGATTCTGAAACAGCACATGCATCAAACATAGCATAAAGCAGGCCAAAATAAATGTTGAGAGAACAATAGATACTTAAAGCAATTGAAGGGGAGTATAGCAATTATCTTTTATCACACTTGGTATCCCTAAATAGTTTTGCTATAAGCAAAGAAGGCCTCTGTTTATTATCCGCGGCACGGAATAGAAAAGCACCACTTGAGAGTTTATTATTTGGGTTAGCTGCATTTTTCACTGTTTATTATGCGTTTTTAATTGCGGTCTGGCTGCATTCGCTTGAAGAGTGCAAGAGCAAAAGGAGAGCGGGAGAGAGGAATGTTGGAGACAGCAACTTCTCTGCAGGACGTGAGGCTACACCGGGAGTCCCACAAACCTGCCTTACCCCCGGATTGGATTTCAGCAGTGACACGAGGAGGAAAAGGGAAAGGGATATTCAAGTGTTGTGAAATGATCTATGTGCAGTTTAGCCACTGGTTTATTTTTTTTGTTTAGTTTACTCCAGCTCACAGTAATTAACTGGTCCTCACATCTGGGAGCAGAAGAATCCAGACTGAATGACTGACCTTTTAAACACCCAGCAGGTGCCAAACCACCTGTGCTGTCCTCCCCGCTGGGACACCAGTCTCCTATACATCTTCCATGACTCTTCATTTATCTTTCTGGCTGCTTTGGACTTAGCACATACTGCCTGACTTGTTCCTCCCCCGTGTTTTTGTAAAAAATGAGCCTCCACCTTGCTCTCTGTAAGACCCTTCTTGCATCTGGTGTTCAGCCATGCCAAACTTTCTTCCAGCAACCAAGAGTTCAAAATGCTTTCTGAGTCAAAAACACAGCTGTTTACTTTTGACTTGGTGTTACTGTTACTTGACTTACTCTTACTGATACTCTTACATGACTGCTTTTGACCAAAACCTTCCATGTTGTTATTCTTTGGATCAAAATCCTATTTTTAATGTATTACTGGCAAACACCTTGGTCCTCTGCACTCCCAGTGAACCTATATTAAGTGCATTGTCTCAGACAGGGCTGCTCTTTGTAAAGTCAGTGTCACAACTGCTCAAGCACTTGAGTACTGCAGAGAATGTCCCCCAATTCCAGGCATATTTGTAAAGAGCAGCGATACACAGAGACTAAAGGTAAAAGTAGGACACTGGACACTTTTTAGCACAGCCTTTTCACATATTGTTGGGAGACTGCGACTGATCTACTCTGGTTCATTTACGCTAACATAAATGACACACAGGGCATACTTGTGCCAGTGTAAGCAGGAAACAGATGGTTGCTTGCTAATAGAAAATACTACAGAGCAAGGATGGCAAAAGCAAAAAGAGTTTTTTTGCTTGGAACTAGGTAACACAAGGATATAAGGCAGTTATAGCAGGGGAAAACATAGCTTGGAAGCTGTTACAGACAAAATATGGCAGCATATTAGAGGAGCACCCACAGAAAAATGGTAAAAAAAAAAAAAAAATGCTATGTGAGCCCAGCTTTAATGACCCTTCAGGACTCGATTAGGCCATGAACACAGGTGTCCAATTGCATCACATGTGAATATTATACAGATAAGCACTCATCAAAAATCAAGTCCTGAGCTGGTTTAGGAATTAATGTGCTTCAGATAGCGTGCTTGAAACTCTCCATTTATGGTCCTCCCTGTAGTGAAAAACTCTTTCACTAAGCAAAACAAATCTAATCTAATCCACACGTAGAAAGAGACTCAGTCATTCAAGGCAGACTGATTTTCAGCATGGCCACCTAAGACCTTTTCAGGTGGCTGTTTGGAAACAATAACGAGAAAAGAGTTGAATAAATAATGTGACCAAAGATACGAACGATAGCGATGTCAGCTTTTTTGCTGTCATTAGTTTGGGCTTTTTTTTCTTAAAGATGGCAGTCACATTTAACAACTCAGAGGTTGCAGAGCAGAGACAGTCTGGATCTGGACCACAGACTGGTTCATTTATTTGGAATGAAGCAATAAGCAAAAGGAAAAAACATGAAACCATAAAAGGGAAAGAAATAGAGAAGAAGAAATGAGACTGAAAGAGGAGGAAATTAAACTTTGAAGAGTGTGTTTCTGGGCCAAAACTGGGAAAAATCTAGAAAAAGGGAACAAAATAAAACTACACCTGCTTTAGACTTACACTGCGAGGCTGCAGTCACTATCTGAGTGCAGAAACCTTGCTGATGGACAGCCTCAGCTGCTCTGTGCTGCCTAATCCACATCGAGAGGTACTGAAAGGTGATCAAACGTATCCTTCGGCTCCTGCACACTATCCCTCTATTGCAAAAAGGTTACGGCACCACTAGCTCAGGGGTATGAGTGATCCACTATCCCTTCCATGGATACACGCAAACATGCAGACAGACACATGCACAAAAATCAAACCTCCCCATCCAACCAAAAGAGAATTCAAGAATCCCCAAAATAATCTGTGTCCAGAGAAATAAATGAATAAAACAGGAGAATCAAAACCAGAGGCAGCAACAATGCCCACATGCCCACAGCACAGAGTGGTATGATTAAAGTTTAACTAGGAACAGATACAGGGTAGCTCTGACAGGCGGTGCCACCTCCTCCCTTTGGTAGACACACAGGAAGACAATGGATAGACAAGGACTGTCCACAGATGGAAATTTAAGGCCTGGGGCATATTGGATTATATAGAAGAAAAGGTTTCAAACTCTGATCCATCAAACAAGAATAAACAACTAAATAAATCCTCTAGCTAAAGATCCCAGGTGAGTCCTATTCCACTCTGTTACAATGTACAGACTTAGCATCAGTTTAACTTCATTACATCAGAAGATAATCATTACAATTAAGTTGATGAGTATTTTTTTTCTTACCTTCAAAGGAAAGGAAGACTCTTGGCAGAGGCTGCGGGAGGCTGGAGACCCCGGTGCAGAGGAAAGAGAGAGCCAGGAGGGAAAACGCCATGGCTGACACCAGAGGTGGCCTGGCCAACCCCTCCGGCCTGCCCATAACTGCACCACTCAGGAACCAAAGCCAGTCACCACTGCTGCTGGAGAGAGGTTTTGGAGAGAAAATAGTGAATTCTGAGAACATGTTTCCTCATACTTCTTCAAGTTAACGGCATTCATGTGCCACCACAGGTATTGTAACAAAAATGGCTTATGTACCACAAAAATACCTAAGATATGTCTCAAATGATGTCCTGGTTCAATATAGAGTTAGCATTTTCTTTACATACTATTTTAAGTAGGATTTACCAGGTCAATCATAGTGCATATTCACATATAATCATTAGGAATAAAACACTTTTCATTGTGGTAACTGGGGGGAGGCTTCTGAAGAACATTGCAATTAACCTTTGATGTAGCAAGTTAAAGGTTAGCAAGTTATCCACAAGGTCATATGCAATAAAGATTTACAAAACTATATGCACTTTCGGCAAACTTTGTGGAAGTGGAAACCACCATGCAAGGACCAGGAAAATTCTTAATAGCTATCCATAGAAAATATAAATCATTTGGCTTTTTTGCAACACATGGAAAAATTGTTGCTAGAAGGTTACTAGAAAGTTAGTACTACTTAAGAAATTGACTGAAACCACTGGTGGACATGTTCATCAATACAGTAGCTGTGGATGACTGTTGCTCCAGTGGTAAAGCTAGTTGGTCAGTGGCTTGATCACTGATTCCTCCAGTCGGTGTGCTGAAGTATTCTTGGACAAGATACTGAACCTTAAGTTGCCCCTGATGCATTAATTGGAGTACAAGTGTGTTTGTGAAGGTTAGAAAGCACCTATGAATGTGTTGCATGATTATTTGTATGATTTTGGTGAATGGGAGTTTAGCAATGTTACCAAAATGTTGCTGGAGGTTTACAAGAGATTACAAATCTAATAGTCTTGTTTTAGCTCTGGTTTGGCATTCATTAATTCTTGACAGAAACATTTGGCTCATTAAACAGCAAACATACAAGTAGCTGAGGCCTTGAAATGATTTATAGCTTTATCTATCTGAGATTCGGTATGCATTATGGGTTTATGCACAACAGAGAGTTAGTTGATGGCTTATTTCAAGCAGTAAATTTCAAAATGGAACTGATTTGACGTATAGGTAACATAGCAGTGCAGCATCGAACTTTGTGACAACCAGTGAAGCCATTAAATTGAATTTAGTCAATTTAATGGCTCTTAATTTTCAGCTTAATGCAGTCCAATTACAGTGACTATATATGACATATGAAGACTGGTTAATTGGTACCATCCAGTGGGATCAAGATTTGAAATGTGATTTTTTTTTTTTAAATGATGACAACACCCTACAGAATACAGCACACTGCTAGTTTCAACAGCTAATGCATCAGTTTCACTGATCTAGAAATGCTGAGTTACAGAGAGAAGCACTGAACAAACAACACTGAGTGAAGAAAGAGATAAAAAACAACAACATGTCAGTTAAATCCCATCATTGCTTTATCCTCGCAAATGTACGGCTCTTAAATATGGATGAGTGAAATCTGCACAAAAGAGCTGCTGGAGAAACTCTCGCCACAGCCTCTTCTCATTCCTTTTCCATAACGGGACAAGAGCAGCTCAATTATTGATAGAGGCAGGTACTGTACTGCCTGTGGGGCGCTAACTCCTGCAATGAAACACTCCATTGCTGGAGAACAGCCGGGCTGTTTTTAACCACTCATTTGGCCGCTCCACCACCTGTGCTGTGCAAAACCACATCGCACTAGACATAAAACAAAAATGACCCTTTCACATGCAAAAACAAAATAAAAATTTCCCAGACTAAATCTCTGATGTCATGCCTTATGGATGTGCAATAAAAAATTGATGGCCAAGAGATAAGAAAGCTGCAAGTTCGCTATGAAAATTTCAGTTTGGGGGTGTGGTGTACAAATAGGTTAAAATATGCGTGTGAGGTGGAGTGCAGCATGACTGATATACAGCTTAAGTGGAATTCTGGTGTTCAGGTGCATAAGGATAACATATGGAGGACTGCTGGGGGATGAGATGTCTTTGGCTGCACTTGAGAGAAATAAACCAGCACGGGGCATTACCAGACGGCCCCAGCTGCTGTAACTGCAGCCCTTCTCCTGCTGCATCATCCACACAGCCTCACACATGCACGCACACCCTCCCCTTCAAGCTCAGGCATTCACACAACTTGCCCTGCTCTGGCTTCCGTCCCCAAAAGATCTGGTCCCTGAAAAAACTGGTCAGTTTGTACATAAAGTCCGATGTGCTGCAATTCTGGAATATTGCACAGTGAGATTTCCACCTTCGTCATAATACAATTACAGCAGTTTTTGCAAATCCTCCAAGTCTTAGAATATCGAGTATAAAATGAAACAGTTAGTTTGTGCTAAAAGCAGAACATTGGTAAAATTACTTAAGTCTAAAGACTCAAGACTTTGCAGCATGCTGTCTTTTTCATTTATAGCTTCTAGACTTCATCAGGTTAAATATCAAACTTGAATATTTTTCACAGCGTTCCAGCTTTAGGTAAGTTTTCCTTTAGGTATGACTTGAATGTTTGTAAGTATACAGATGGTGCAAAAATGGTGCAAAAATATTTTGTACCATACCTTGTCCATGTGCCATCTTTCATAAAAAAAGCATACTACAGTTGATATTTTAGAAAGCAAGATCCTTGAAAATAAAATTTAGAGACAACCCTAATTTTTTAAGTGAGAACTACATTTCCCCATATTTTTAGGTGGACTGACCTTTTGAGCTGCCAAGCTTCCACACCTACCACTCCCTGCTCCCTTCAGAGAGTTGGTGATCTCCCCACGGAGAGGCTCTGGTATAGAAATGTTGGTCTCACAGCTGCTAAACTCATCCTCAAGGGAGTCTCATGTGCATACTGTGATATCCCCAAGAGGTTGTGTTCCGACACTTTGCTATGCCACACTAAATACATGAATGAGCTCACTCTCCCTCACACTCGTGGAGCACTGTAACGCTCCCCTCGATGAAAGGGTTTCACAGTAAAGGATGTTTTCCTATTTGTTGCCATGAACAAAAATAATAAATTCTGCAATTAATTTCTCTGAGCTCTTCGGACGAGAAATTCCAGGGCGTCAGTGTGCCAGGAAATCTCTGTAACACCAATTAAATGTCTTCTCACAAAGCAGGTCAGTGAAGTGAGCGAATAGTTACATTTCCAGTGAGGTGTAACGATAATTGTGTTTATTGTGCTCATTGCTTGGCTGGCAGCCTAATGAATTTTCCATCTTGCCATTTTGGAGGCTCAAAAACTAATATTGATGAAAGTGGAAAACTGCATGGATTATCGCTCCCATCTGCTCCTATTAATGCTTTAAACACATGAACCCAAATCACCTGTGAGACGAGTGGGGACGAGTCCTCCCGGTTGGAATCAATTTGGCATTTTGATCAATACAGGAAAAATTTAAATCACAATGATAAACAAGTTTTGTCCTAGCAGGACGGTGTGCGTTCATACCACACCCTGTCATTCGGTTGTCAGCAGCTCTATTACAGCCACACATTCCCCTGCACACATGACCAGCAGGCACAGCTAAAAGTGTATATTTCAACTCTTAAACTTCACACAAGCACATTGACTAAGATTAATCTTCTGATTTCAAACCCTGTGACTGACCACAACTTTTTTTTAAAGCTCTAAATAAAGAATCTATATAGTTATAGACAGATGCTGGTGGAGACTTAAACCAAAGATTTAAGCCTTTTTAGATGAACGAGGAACTAAAAAATGTTCATAAAGTCATGTTTTCCATTTTACTGACTGCAGCGTAATAACCAGCCACAGTGTATTTAAAAGGAATTGTTCACCAAGCACATGAGTGGAAAATAAAGCATGACACAGAAGTCTGATGTAATACCACACATGATCTCAGAGAAGCACCAAGTCATCTGGCAGACTCTTCCACAGTCAGATTGAGTTTACTTGCAGCTTTTTTTTAAACTAATTCTCACTGGTGGGACTCTGCACCTGTTAGCCTGCTGCCTACCAACTCCTCTCTGCATCCACTGCGAGATCCACTCCACTGCATAAAAAGTACAGTGTGGTACAGGCAGTACAGGCAGGTAAACCTTCTACCTTTAGAAAAAGGAACACATCAGACCTTTGCCAGTGACTCACCTCTCAGGAGCTTCCTCCGATGCTGGTCCAAGTTTCGGAAGGCAGGATCGTATTTCTCGCCTGTTTCTAGTATCCTGTAATAACACCAAAGAAGAAAAATGCTGCTATTCCATCTAAGTGCTCAGAGAGCAGACTTGACTGAGAGAGCACAGGAGAGAGGAGAGGAGAGGAGAGAGGGAGGAGAACGAAAAGACAGAGAGAGCGGGTGTCCTATTACACACTCTTCACTGAAGTCCCCCCTCCTCCTCCTCCTCTTCCTCCTCCCCACCCCTCCTTTCCACGATCGTCCTCCCTCTCTCCGTTAACTAGACAGCAAACAGATCACATGCGCAGCTTAAAACATCAGAGAGGCAGAGGACGTTTACCTCACCACAGTAAGAGGGTGAAGCCCGAAAAGGTCAGGCACACTCACATCACAAACAGATTGCATTGCTTTTAATCTGTGGGTGATCCACTAGTTAGATTGCCTCCAGTGATACCAATGAAATCAGATGTTTTCTGCTCATTTCCACTTTTATGGGCCTTTTTTGTTTTCCACTGGGAAACAAACTATTTTAATTACTGGGTACTTGAAACTTTGCAAATCAAATAATCGTCAGATAAGAGGGATTTTCTCTCTGAAGATGGTTCAAATATGAACTACAGTCATGCTCACCACTATGCATGACATCACTAAAGTCAGATGATGTCTGTGTAGTCAGCTGTTATGTTAAATATGACCCACATTGCCCAATAAGTATAGCAATAGTATTGATGATCTCTTTTAGCACTTGCCTGAAAGTGATGGGAACATATTGAGTTTGCAGATCATGAACAAAATTATGACCATGAACGAAAGAAACTGTGGGATTTTTAGAAAGATCTCAACATCAATAAAGATTTCACTTTGTTTTTACTAAATTTAAGGGGTTTTCATCTAATCTGGACATCAGGGGAACACCTATAAGCCAATATAAGTACCATGCTTCAGAAGAGCATTGCCACCCTCTGAGCAAACTGACTATCTTGGATGAAAAAGAAAGAACATTACTTTGTTTTTTTCCATCAAAGTCTTTAAAAAGACAAAGAGCAGTATAAAAGTTATATTTTTCTCTTACCCATGTTATTTATCCGGTACACAAATATGATTCACAACAGGCATGAAAACAGAACCACTCTAAAGTGTGCAGATGACTCTTGTTATTGTTAGTCCAGCTCCAGGATAATGAGACCAGCCACGGCCTGTCATTGATTACTGTGTTAAATATCACGATCTTCAGTTAAACATATATGACAAGAGATATGATCACTGATTCTTAGAAAATATACTCATACACAAGATTAAATCATTAATGGAAAGATGTTAGGGGAATGTTCTCACATTTAGAAATCTCTTAACTCCAAACGGAACTGAACAAACGGTGCAGCTGTGCATAAAAAAAGGCACCAATGTCTGTTGAGTTTGAGGAAACTTTCCAAAATCCACATTGATAATTTTATTTTGAGTCTGTTTTATTCTCTTTCTTGGTTCCATGGTTTGGATACATATCTGAAAAGAACAAAAGCAGATTAAATCAACTTGTTAAATGGTTAAAAGAGGCCACAGCTGAGCCCAGCGTCCCCGAGCACCAGACAGTCACAGCAGTAGGCTGGCTCTATTATATTTGATCACTCGCACTTTCACACTGAGCTCCAGTTTCCAGCCTTTCAGTCCCAAAGTTCAGAACAACAAGGTTTAAAAACAGCTTTGTTCCAGATTCTCCATTATTATTTATTAATTTTTATTCCTCATTATGTTGCGTATGCTTGTCTGTTGTCTGTGTTTGTGTTGAAAAAGTGCACGTCAGGATGGATGACTCATTTTACTGCAGACCAGATGTACCAGCGGGTGCAAATAAAGTAACCTGAACCTGAACTTGAATGTGTAGCGATTCTGATAAATTGAAAAAAAATCACTGTTAACACACAGTTACTTTAAATGAGCTCAGTGAGGAAAGCTTGGCCAGCATGGGAAGCTTATAAAGCTATATTGTGTAAGTAAACCCTGCCAAACCTGCTTCAACGTAATTATTTATTCCAGTACAGATTTTGCAGCTTCAACTGAAGGCGTCAGGAAGACTTGGCCCTAAACCCGAGCGCTACAGTGAAATTCATGTGAAAAGGTGTTTTTTTTTTCTTCCCCCTTAGCTGGGTGTCACATGTCACTTCAGTGCAGGTATATGAGGCAAGATGTTAAGGATTTTCCACTTTAGCGCAGGGGTTTCATGGAAATATTTGAGCAGATTGCTAAAAATCAGAGCACAGGAAAGACAGAAAATAAAAGGTGGTGTGTGAGCCAGTTCTCTGATGAATACATCTGATGGTAAGAAAAAGTAAAACAGGGGGAGGAAAGAGAGGATCACTGGTGGCTCAGACAGGAGGAAATAATTACCCCTCTCCTTGACAATGGAGCCAGATTTACGCCTCTCCAATTAAAGTGTCAGGATGGCCCGCTAGAGGGGTGCAGGTTTTTCATTGGTGCATGAAGACTATATTGCAAGGTCCTCATAGGTGGAGGAGGAGAAGAATAGAAAGAGGTGGGTGAGAGCAAAATTGAGATGAGGCGTATCTTTTACGGTCCCCGTGACAGAGCCGCAGCAGTAAATTAACTTGATGAGAGTGGAGAGCCAAAGTGAGGGTGACAAATGGCAGACAGGTGTGCTGTCTGACATGACATATGATTATAGAGGACTTTGTCCTACAGTAAGTGATTGTAAAAGAGATGAATTTGGTCCAATGTTTTTATCTTTTATTCCCAAATATTATGATAAGTGTCTTGAGTCTGGCCACTTAGCGTCCAGTCAGAGTCTCTGTTACACAGACTGTATCTGACAAGCGCTGTGCTGTGTTTCTGTGCGTGAAATGGTCTTCTCACTTAATCTCTCGGCCATGCACACATGTGCCTTTGAAAAAAACCTGCCCCTCGTTAGCGGTGCAGATGTTATGCATTTGTCATGCTGATGTTAAAAGCACAGACCAAGGTTAGGGGAGGACCTCCTATGGCGTTCGCCTTATCACATGCACATTTAAACACTTGCCAACTCACATGGTCGGCACTAACACATTAATATACTGTCAGCACCAGTGTTATGTTTGATTCTTTTAGCTTCTTCTTCTCTTTTTCCTTTTACAGTTTTGTATTCGATGACTTTAAAAAACACAGTTAACTGAACACAGTAAAGCCCGCATGTATTGAGCTATTTGTTTTTTTATGTTATGTTGTTTCAGATCTTCAGATCTTCAGTAGATTTTAATATCACACAAAGATAATCGAAGTAAAAAGGAAAAATTCAGTTTTTAAATGATGATTTAATTCATTAAGGGGAAAAAAGCTATCCAAACCTATCTAGCCAAAATAAAGTAATTAGTATTCAATCATGTATTAACTGTGATTAATCAAATGTGTTGGAAAGCTGAATTTAGTTTGACTAGCCTGATTACTCCTACTACTACTCCAAGAGCCCATTGATGACTCATCTAGGAGGGGAAAAAAGAAACTAGAACAACATCTAAAGGACTGCAGGCCTCGCTTGTTTCATTTAAGGTCAGGGCTCATGATTCAGCAATAAGAAAGAGACTCGGCAAAAATGGCATTTATGGGATAGTTCTAAGGAGAAAACTACTGCTGACCAAAAAGATCACAAAGACTTGTCTCGTATTTGACACAAAAACATCCTGATGATCCCAGAGACTACTGGGAAAATATTCTGTGGAATGACGATTGCACGAGCAGCCATAGTTGATGGAAGCATGGATTCTGCTCTCTACCATAAGATCCTGAAGGAGAATGTTTGGACATGGATTCGCCTCCTGAAGGTCAAGCAGAGTTGGATTATGTAGCAAGACAATTATCCAAAACGGACCAGCAAGTCCACCTACGAATGACTTAAAACACGAAGCTAAGCAAAGGTTTTTGACTGGCCTACACAAGGTCTCAGATTGAGATGCTTTAGCAGGCCCGTTATTCTCCAATGTAAAACTATTCTGCAAAAACAAGTGGACCGAAATTCTTCCAAAGCGATGTAAAAGGCTGAAAAAACAAAAACAAAAAAACAGTGCATATTTTTTGTGCCTTAACTTCTAAATTCTTAGGTTAATTTTAAGTTAATAATTACAGTTGGAATCACATTATATTTTATTGTTTGTATTTGCTTATGATTTCCTCCTGGATTGTTCTTTTATTCTGTTTCTGGGAAGCTGATTTAGAGAAGTTCATTACTAATCTAAAGTAAAAATAAAAAATAAACACAAATTACACAAATTACAACTAACATAAAGTTCTAAGTGTGAACATGGCAGATTTCCCTGCTTGATAAAATTACCTTTAAGACATATCTGGGACATCTAAAGACCTACTTTTTCACAAACTTTATGAATATTCTAATTATTTCTATTTCAAAGCTGCTGGGCACAAGAACTCTTCACACAAAAAGTCCTTTCTTAGTGCTGACAGTATCTCAGTGTCTATTCTGACATTTTGTCCAACATTCTTCAAATGCTGTCTGAGAACTTGTAATGAAAGTTCCTATTAAACTTGCATTAGCACAGCAATACCGTGCACTGCTTTTGAACCTCCAACTGATCAGTTGGCCGTGCCACACGCATTTTTTTCTGCATAAGTCAAACCAGATTATTTTTCTCCATCAGGGCAGCTGCTCTGAATTTACATATGTTCCTTCCATCTGTGGGGCTGTGGCATACTTCTGTGAAAGTGAGGAAAAACAAAAGGCAGAGATGTGAATAATGGCAAACTAATTAGCTTGCTAAGCACCAAAGGGCAGATCTGATAAATGCTAAACAGGACTATGCAGAGTCCTTCACGTTCAACAGCTCACTTTGAGAGATTAATCAAGAAGTTTAGTCACCCCTGCAAAAAGAGATGAGGAATTCTGCCAGAGTCACGCTCTGCGTCAAAACATCTGGAGAGA